AAAAATTTAAGTTTTATATATATACATATTGAAATAACTAAAAAATTATAAATTACTACATTAATACCATAAAATTGCACTATAATTTATCATGCTTAGTAACTAAACTGTATTTGAGTCTAAAAAAATATTAAATTTCAAGCAGACTAAAGACACAACCTTGCCTCTTTGAAATCTTGTTTTGAAAGAATGAGTTGGCATCCTAACAGATGAAAAGGGCTCAGAAAGCCACTAGAAGGACATTCTGAGCTTTCAATTGGTTATTCACACGTCATAAACAGAAGTAGGTGGGCGGGGCCAGTATATTTGTTTCAGTAAATGTAGCGATATGTCAGCAAATAGAAAAAAAAGGAGGTTCCTATTTTAGATTCTAGCTTGTCAATACTGGTAATTTGAGTTCCTAATTCATAAGAAACTATAGACTTTGTATTTGGACATCCAATTTGAACCAATGCTGCATTCAACATACCACGTGACACACAAAAATTGATATTTATGATTTCTTTTTTGATATTTACTTTTAAATTAAGAAATTAATTAATGGACCATATTAAAATTTGAATTATAATCTACAATTTGATACCAAACTTATTGACATACATTCATAAAATAGTAGTTCAATAAAATTTTGAATGCAAGTCAACAAACTCGATATGACATGACCTTTAATGTGTAATGATAGAGTTAAGTATCATTAAAAAATTGATGTAAAATAGACTTAGGAAAATTTTTTTCACTCAACATATGATGGAACAATATACCTGTGGAATTAGTATCCACACAAACTGTTATATCATTTGAAACAGATTAGACAATGTGTGGCATAATCAGGAAATGAAATATAACTTTGAAGTAAACTATCATATATACACACACACACATACACATGCATATATATTGGAAGCCATGGTGTCTGTCCAAGCATTCATCTGTTTCCTGTTTGGAAAGCTGCGAATGCAGGCAAAGCTCAACATTTACTTTTGAAATGACATGAGAACAGGCATGAATAATGTTGATGCCAAATTAGATTTCACAAGCAGGATATTCCACACTAAATTGTTAGTTAAATTGTTAAATATTCTAATAAAGCAGAATTGTGCATTGGTCCATTACATAATAATGAGATTTTTGGTTCCAAATTTCAAAAAGCAAATTTTAAAGAGATGAGACAAGAATTACCTGTTGTGAATTGGGCAACTTAATTAATTGGAGATACTTATCAAAATTTTAAATATTCAAGATACACATGTTCCTTGTAGGGAAAATTGGGTAGCTGCAAGTAGACTTACAAAGAAAAACTTAAAGAAAAGCATTGTAAAAATGTAAGTTTGAAAAACGTCATTACAAGATGACTGGGTTATTAAAATCTAATTTTTCTTTGTTTTTTTTCTAATGAAGATTAAGACAATATTCCTCATCCTGAACAGTTGTGAGATGAAACCTCGATCAAACAAGACAATCACATTAATTATGAGCTTGTTAAGTAAAAATTTGGAAGTTTAATGATTGATAAAGCTCCTAGGACAGATATTTACCCAAGTGTTTGAAGGTTAAGAACTAGGTACATGAACTACTTGGTACTAGTTGTTTTAAAAGGAGGTGATAAAAATTATCCCAGTAATTATGGGCTTGTTAAATCAGTGGGGGGGGGGGGGG